TCCTGGAGTGTTTGCATGTGGGTCAAGAAACTTTCTAAAACCATGACACACAGTGACATTTCTCGACAGYAAGCTGCTCGGAGCTCTTCTCCAGCAGTTCTCGAATGTTTATTCTCTTTCCTAGACAACAAAAGGGAGGACGGGAGGGCGGAGGAGACCAACCTCCGTTTCATTAATCATTTGCCTGGAAATTATGAAAATAAATAAATAATAACCACCTCGAATTTAGATTAAAATTTCAGGGAAATTCTGTGGCTAATAAGTGTGCTGATGAAAACACGACAGTGTCTTAAGTTTAAATATGACAGCAGATCCTCTGAATTTACCTTGCAGATGCAGCTTCATACCATGCGTCCAACCTGTCGAAGCAATCTGCACGCACTGATTGTAGAAACTGAGCACACAATTTAGTAAACCGTGCGCACGGATTGCAAAAACTGAGCGCATGGTTTAGTAATCCGTGCATGTGGATTACTAAACTGCGTGCACAGATTAGTAATTCGTGCGCACGGATTTCCGGCGGCTGTTTTTTTTCACCACTGACCCCTGGCGGGTTCCGTATATCCAGTCACTTACTTTAGGTATGAAGTAATACTTAGAATTATATGTTGCAGCTAATTCAAAGCGATTGTCATGTCATAGAACAGATCCTCCCCAAAGCAAGAGAAGGGGTTATCTGTGGAATCAAAGTGGGCGTGTCACAAGAGTGGGCGTGTCAAAAGCCTAAACACTGTGGGGTACGAGGCCTACATGACGGTATCCTTAGATCCTCCTTGATGTCTTTACAGCCTGACCCTGACCTCAACACTAAGGTTAACCAGGAGAAATGTGACCCAAGTAGTGTTCTTCAGAAAAAGTGGCGCCGTACGGTATCGCCCCTTTTTTGCTTGTCCAGTCAGGTGTGTCCCTTTAACAAAGTCCGTCAAATCAGGTGTGTCGCTTTAGAATTGCCGTTCCTTAGAAGGACATCGCTACATGGGGGGCATCCCTGCCTCTATCCCTGGGGGGTAGAATCAACGTGATTAAAATGACAATATTGCCCAAATTACTTTATCTATTTCAGAGCGTGCCAGTGTTCCTCACCAGGACTTTCTTTACAAATTTAAATAGTGAATTGTCGTCCTTTATTTGGAATAAAAAACATCCACGGATAGGCAGTAAGATGCTACAGTTACACCATGGTCTTGGTGGCTTATCACTCCCCAGCTTTTTACATTACTACTGGGCGGCTAGCATTAGAGCCTTACTGTACTGGTTGAGAG